TAGAGACGAAATATGAAAATTGCACTTTTGGTCACGGATTCTAAACGCGCGTAACAGAATTTCACCTTGATTTGAAACTCTAAACGCAGAAGTCCCAGCCCAGCACCTTCGTTTGAAACAATAATTTTGTTTCATTTTTGGTTCAAGTAACAGCATACAGGTGAGTTATACCATTTCTTCCCTCATATTAAGATGTGTATGTAAGATACTTTTCGAAATTATTATGTGTTTATTTAGATAAATCTTTGTTTTGTGTGATACATTGTGACATCAGCGTCTTGAGCTTACAAAGTCGCCCATAATTATGTAAGCTTCATGGTGACTTGCAAGGAGATTGTCAAGACTTACGTGTTTAGTTTTCATGTGAAAGATTAAACCCATTGACACCGTTTAGATCTCAATAATATAGATTAATTATTATGTATTGTTAGTCACAGGTTTAGATCTCATCAATGTTGATTAATTGTTGAGTTTTAATTTGTCATAGATGTATCTCAGCAATGTGGATTGATCGTTATTATATTTCAACCTGCTATAAGATAGGTGTTTCCCAAAGTCAAACGCCATTGAAAGAGGGGATTATTTTTTTAAACATTCAAATTTACTTTTACTTTAGAAGAGGCATACTTTATTATACATTTAATAACTTATATTATTATTTATATTTCCGTCAAGAACCACTTTTCACAAACTGTTACAGCTGTCTAAAAAGGTAGCAGCAAAGCCTCCATGACCACCGTCCAGGGGACATACCCAGCACCTCTCTAAGGGAAATGCCCGTCCTCACTCCTCAGAGGGACATGCCCACGAGTCTTCTCTGTATGAACCACTGGACAATTTTTGGGATATATCATTGACTCATTTGTAGACATGTCAGTGTATAGCAGTGATTTAGTGTATTTTGATCACAATGAGGCTATGGGGAAGAAGGTAGTCACTAAAAGTGCTGCTGACCAGCGTGACGATAGATCTAGTCATTTTCAGAATGTTCTTGATTTGAGTATGTCTATACACGATAATGGAAAAACAGATGTGAATGTAAATGATGGTGGAGAAATGGTTTTTGGTGTGAAAATATGTGATGCTAGAGATAAGGCTCACGGTGTGAAGGTGTGTGATGGTAGATATGGGTCTCTTTTTGTGAATGCTGATTGCAGCAGAGAAAATGTTCTTAATTATAATGCGAATGCATATGACGGTGGAGATGAAGTTTTTTTTATTCCAATATGTATGATGGTAGAATTGAAGCTTTTGAGTTATTGAATGTCACTGATCCTAAAGGTGAAACTGTTGATTCCAACATGTATGATGAAGATTTGGACTTGAATGTCACTGACCAGAGAGGCGAACATGTTGATTCCAATATATGTGTTGATAGAGGTGAGGCTCTCGTTGATCGATCATGTAGTGATGGAAACGACAGCGATAATGTGAGAATAATCAATGGAAAGAAGTGAAAGCTTGGAAGAGAAAACTGGGAGAGATTTGTGAACTCAAGAAACGTGAAGCAGGGCATTCTTATGAAGGAAGTCGATACAGGGTTTGAGAACGTTGAAAAGGATAGAAGAACTTCGAGGAAAGATGCTCTTGCAAGGTCAAGTGTAATCAGTGTTCGAATATCACAGAAGAAAAGAGGTAAGAAATATTTTATTTCTTATTGTCGCTGCCCTGGCCAGAGAATGGTGTATTTTTGCCTAGACATGTATGCAAGGTGCCAGCCAAACAGAAAAAGCAGCGTCTGCAGCATCCTGTTGGACTACGTCCCTGCAGTATTTTCTGAAAACCAGTAGAGGCAGATTCAGGGTCTGCTGTCAGACGTTTTGGTCTACAATAAGACTCAGGGAATGGTACGGTATGTGAGACACCATCGCGGAGGACCAAGTGATGGCTTATCAACAGGGAATGAGTCTTCTCGGAGACCAGCATCTGACTCTGATGTGCGATTACATCTGCGAGCCTTCCTTGAAAGTCTGCCTAAAACGGAGTCTCACTATTGCCGAAAGAAAAGCTCCAAGCTATATTTAGAGGCAGTTTTCCATTGCAGGACCGATCTATTTCGTCTCTATGACACAAAATGTAAAGAAAAGAAGATGGAGGCTCTTTCTCGTCCAATTTTTGACGATGAATTACAGAAAATGAATATTTCTCTTTTCAAACCGCGCAAAGATCAGTACGATCTCTGATGAAGGCAATGTCGAAGAAGATTTATCTGTCTCATGGGCAAAAGAAAGAAAGGGCACAGCAAGAGATGGCAGCAGAAGAGGAAATGGTCCAAAATAAGGACACAACAAAGGTCATTACTGTGGATCTACAGTCAGTTTTGCTTTTGTGGATTACCTGGAAAGTGATCTGTCTTTTGATAGGTACATCATCTATTCCGATGGATGTACTTTCCAGAACAGAAACAAAACATTAGCCACTGCTCTTTCCAGGTTCTCTGAGATGCATGACAAGGAAGTAGAGCAGAAAATACTTGAGAGGGGCCACACGATGATGGAGGTGGATAACGTCCACCGCGTTATCGAAAGACGAATCAAGAATAAGAAGATTTTCCTTCCTATCGACTATGTTCGATTAATTGAAGAAGCCCGAAGAAAGCCATATCCGCACTCTGTGAAGTATTTAACTCACACGTTCTTCTCAAACTTTGATTCTGTGAACACCCTCAGTTGCATCCGTCCATGAAAGAAAGCTGGGGATGCTACAGTTACTGACATCAGGGCTCTGAAATACCTGCTTGATAGAAAAATACTCTATAACCTTGGATTCGGGGACGAATGGTCAGAGTTTCCAGAGAAAAGAAATCAGTCTACAACACTGATTGCCACTCCCAAGAAGCTGTTTTATGCCAGCAGGAGCATCTCAAATGTCAAATTCAAACATTTGCAAGCACCAAAATCAGTAATATCATCGGAATGTTGGGCATTTTATGACAAGTTGAAACAAGACTGAATCGGGAATGTCCTCAACAACACACTTTATCAAAGCAATCAATTTTGTATACAATTATTATATAAATTTTCTTCTTGTTATCTTGAGGGTGCTTGCGCAGCCCATAAGGCTTAAACGGTGGAACGCTATCTCTCCCTGTCTAAGGCCAATCTCTTGATCTGTCCCCATGACCATCCCTTGGACTTTATCTCCTGTTCAATGCTCCTTCGCCGGGTCTCCGGCGGGCGGCCCCCTTTTTTTTTTGTTCCTCTGGCTACCCTGGGAGTGACATTTGGGTCCATTCTAAGGACATGTCCAATCCAGCACCACCTTTTCCTTCTCAAAGCTACGAATACTGGTTAGATAATTGTTTTTTCAGGCAGTTCTTTGTTTTATATAGTTCTGGATCATGAACTTGAATAAGTCTTCTTAGGGATTTTTTCTTTCGGGGGAGGTTGAATGATACAATATGGAATCATTTTAAATTTCTACTCGGTGATATTGAATTGATGTGTTTTTGATTATGTAAAATGCTCTGTTATATTACATCATGTGTTACAGTTACAGCATTACTATAATACAGTTGAAAATGTTCTTGAAAGAATTAACTGGCTCCTTTTCGTAATTTGTTGGGTGATTGGAAGGCTGCTCCTTTGCTACTTCTCACACAAGCTACACTTTGTCATTCTAAGGGTTTTCTTCTGTAGTCTTTCGTCATAATCCTCTTACTAATAATAGACCTACAGTCGATTGGTGTTGTAAGTGTGAAAGGACTGGGAAATAAGAATGATATCAACCAGACGTATAGTTAATATACCAATTAATTCGATCAATCAATATTACTTGCAAAGTTAAATGCACCTATAATCTATGAAACCAATCTGCCTTATTTCTTCAAAGTCCTTTGCATAGTTTTTCTAATAAATAAACTGAAAGATTCGTGCTGTAAACAAGTAAGCCAATGATTCACAAGCCACATGTTAAAATAATGAAAGCTCTACACGGGTATGGCTAACCACGGCTACCTGCCGCAGACTTACGCGAGTAGAGCTTACAAACTTTCTTCTCCAATTTATTACACAAGTCAACGGGTTCGATTTACGCGTTTAAATGTTTGAAATTTAGAGTCTCTAAACACGTAAGTCTGTTTTATGATTAATGTTCAAAAACAAAAGAATTTTCACATTGAAAGTTGTATACATAGAAGTATTCTTTACGATATGTAGAAAGAGCAGTACATTTGCATTCTGTTTTTACTATTTATTACGTTTTTTGTCTCTCCTGTAAAATTTGCCTCAACGGACTTACGCGTTTAGAAACTTACAGGGAAGATATATATATATATATATATATATATATATATATATATATATATATATATATATATATATATATATATATATATCGAAAGTCGTTATTGAGAGGCTGCACTGTATGTGTTTTAGTGTGAGGGGGCCTGGCCTGTTCTCCTCTTTATTACAAGAAAAATAAATTGTCCTTTTAAACAGAAATTTAACTCAATGTTGAATATAGGTGGGTGACTGGAATGTGCTCTGGTGAGGCCTGCTCTTTCTTTCTTATCAGACACCTATCGTCCTTATATCTCTTCTCCTTTTCTTCGTACATGATGTATGTTACTCACCAATAACACCTCTAACACTCGCACCTGCATAAGGTCATATGAGTGCCAAGGGGTGGGTGTCAACAGAGAAGTCTAAATGGGGAATCAGGAGTCTAGCCTCAACAGCACAAAGTCTGCTTCAACTATCATCAAGGCACCCCGGAAAGAGCAGTTCACAAGAGAATGACAAACATACAAAAAATGGAGAGGAAAAATGACGAAGGTAAGGATGAGGAAAGAAAAAGCAGCAGTTTCCCCTACATGTATGTTGTTCCGGCACAGTATGAGCATGACACTGATAAATCAGCCCATTTACAATTCTGCTCCGCATAAGTAAAATAAGAACATGTTAATATCCCCCCTTCGGAAATGGCCTAAAGACAACTTCAGTCAGTAGCATTGCCTTGGTGGGGGAAGGGGGGGGGGCGATTAAAGTTGAATACTTTCACACATCACGATGATGTATTTATTAATCAAAGTCTGTCCAGAACCAAAATAACAAATGTTTGGAATACACTTTTTGGAAAACAAACCAACAGTTGTGCATGGAACATCAAACAGCATCAATCCACTTTCACGTCATCACAGAAACATTCCCTGGGAATCATCAGGGTACATAACAAGGAAATAAATATCACAACCAAGTAATGGCATCAAAAGAGAAGACACTTTATCCAATGTTCGAACAGAGGATTTATGAATTTAAATAAAACAGTAGCCCTACTAATTTTGATAGCAAATATAGCTACATCTCATTGATATACAATGATGTGTGTGTTCGAGTGGATGTGTTGATGCGTGTTTTACATATACATACATATATATTTAATACATATATATATATAATATTAATTATACACACACATACATTGTATGTATATACTTTTCCCTCCTTCCAACTAGGACATTTGTCCCACTACACGGACCAAAGAAGTAGTTAGAAAGAAAGGAGAAGGTGAAAGGGAGTTGGATATTGGTTGGTTGTATGAACTGAAAACCCAACTCCTTTGTAGACGCACACAGGTCATTTCGAAGTATGGCACTTACCCAGCAATACATTGTATGGTTTTGAACACATTAAAGGGTTCGACCTTTTGCTGTTTTACTGTGGGGCAATTGTTCTCTCCGCCCCTAATCTGTAGGACACGAAAATGTTCACAGTACATACATGTATTACAGTGTAGTCCGCTTAAACCAAACACAGTTTATCCTAAAGCAGCGGTAAATGGAAAGAAAATAAAATCATCATTTATTTTCTCTTTGTTTGAACAATATCTCTAAACTGAAAACCCAGCTAAATCAAAGAAAATCTGACGGTTCCGTAAATTGCAGTTTAAGCAGCTCCACTGTATAATACACTGGAATGCATTTGATTTTGAGTACATGTACTCCGTAATACCTCATCATCATCCTTACAGTCATCATTAATACGCCACAGATACAATTAAGGCCAAAAACAGAGAATAGCAATAACATACAACAGGTACAACAAAGGTTTTGCACTATTGAGCCCATCCGTAGTATAACTTTTCGAACACTACTGAAAGTAAAGTTTAGTACCAATATAAGTATAAATAAACAAAGTGAATCGTGGTGGTACAGCAAAAACCAATAAGCGCTGATAAAAAGAAAGACATACGAACAATAGAACTTGATTATCGCAAATTTGGCAAAATCACCTGAATGATGTTTTTTTTAGCTCAGAGAAAGTAATGTCATGAAAGGTTTTTAGAACCGTCAGTACAAACAGGAGGCACAAACAAGTAAAACAGTAAATGTACAGAGAAATACACTGATATCTTGTTTTCACTTTTCTGAGACAGAAACAAAACAGTTATGTAACAGGCTTCATAAAACTAATAAATTTCTGTACATCAAGATTTAAGAAAAAAATGTAATCACTTTACATCCCCCTCACCACATTAAAGATCATAGAAGGTGGGCAACTTCGACCTTGTCTCTCAAATGCAACATCCAAGCAGAAAAACTGATGTACCAGGTAGTCAATAAACTCATGTCTTTAGAAAGCACAATAAAGAGCATTAGCATTTTATTTACACTTAGAATAACCACAATCATGCAACATCTGAAAAAGACCAAAAAAAATCTTTCAAGCACACATTGTAAACAAGAAAATCACAAGAATAACAATCAAATCACTTTGTGGCAAAAGTCTTCAGAAAAAAATAAGGCTACAAACAGAAAAATCAACTTCTCAAAGTCAGCAGGCGGAGAAAGGTTTTCAACTTCAAGTAAAGATAAGCAAATGAACAAGTCAATACAAGATGTGTTAAGCTTGACAATTGCGGAAACAAACAAGAGACATATCTGGTTTTCTTCTGTTAGAAAATTCCTCCATGTGCAGACCTGAGGTGAGCATAGCAAAGTGTTTCCGTTGGAAAGCGTTTCAGACACAACCAGCAAAAGATAACCCTGCAACACGAGCAGTGCATTTTGTTGCAGCCGTAAATCTTTTCAACCGGGCCCCTACATCCAGGGCAGATTTTGCGTTTCTCAGGGTTTTCTTTTGTCCAACGTTCCAGTTCTTTCTCCGCATTACTCAAGCTCTTTGCCATCTCACAAGTAAGTCCTGCATGGGAAGCCTTGTTGCAAGAAGAACAGACGCTGGCGTAACACGACGGACAGGTGAACACACAACCTTGTGGCTCATGCGTCACTTCATACACAACAGGGCAGTTTGGAGTGGAGCAAAACTTGTATTTGTCAGGCTGTTGCTCTACATAAGCATTCAGAGCCATCTGAGCAAGTTTGTCTCCTGCTATCCATTTCTTTTTGAGGAAAAAATCAATGTCTTTCCAAACCAGCAGTTGGCCACATCCCTCGTGAGCACAGGACATAGGGAACTGCTTGTCCTGCACCGACACACTGACCTGAAGCTTGATGCACACCGTGCAATACCCATGTCCACATCCCTCCAGGCGATACAGATCAGAGCTGGTCTCCACTGGACACATGCACACCACACAGTCGGGCAACTCCGTATCAGACTGTGCATTTGAGCGCTCAGCAAGATCTTTGGAAAGTTCTTCAATGCTCATAGTACAGTTTCTCAAAGCTTCATCTTTCCCTACAAGGGAGATTTTCTGAAGTTTAAAGTCAATTTTAACACTGTTTAGTTGGAACTCATTCTGAAGTCCGTCCAGTGTATGTCCGTATTTGAGCAGCAGTGCTTTCATTAAACCTGGAGGGCGAGTTTTGGCTTTCAGGTTAATGCATTCTTCTCTCCCATCAGCCAGTCTGCTCAGATATGTGTTTAGGTCCATTTTCGCCTTGCTCATTTTTTCGTCCTGACCATATAAGTGCAGCTGTTTTTCTCTTTGATTAACAACAATGAGCACATCAGCTGATTCCTCCACTTTGTGAACTTCCTGGAGTCCCTGCCGTGAGAGGAGACATTCACGTAGTGCTGACCTCCCACACTCAATAACATCTCCCTCTAGCTCAGTCTGAAAGACTTCTCTGGCCAGAGCAATGCACTCGGCCTTCGGTGAAGAAATGTCTAACCGGAAATCTCCTTGCTTTAGAGGCACAATTGTCACTTCAGTCTCTTTATTTCTTGTCAAGCCTTGAATGTGGTCATCAAATCGGAGCTTGCTGGCTTCCATAATCTTGCGTGGAATATGGATACTTGTCTTCAGTTTGGGGCTAATTTCTACTGGTCGACCATCCATACTGAGGATGCCTTGTAGACGCTGACATGCGCGGAAGCCAGACACTGGGTTGTTGAAATATACAAAGCCAATTTGTTTGATGTCTTTATCTCTTGGATGTTTCAAGTCAACAGTGCATGTGTCCCAGCGAGACTGGAGGTGCATGTCAAACTCACTGAGCACTGCAGTTTCTAGCATACTCATTTCTTCTTCCGTTGGAGCAACTATATTTTCCCGAACAACAAAAACACGAATTTCATGCTCCAGACTTTTATGAATCTCACCTCTCTGTCTCAGTAGCTCCAAAATTTTGTCTTTGATAATATCTTCTGAAGTGTTCCCTGTATTGAAGACAACCAAATCCTCACCTTTGTTACTCTCTTTGATTGTACATGTTCTCAAATTCAGTAGTATTGGTTGAAAAAGAAGACACCTTTTCACATCGGGCTGGCATTTGATGAATGCTGTGCCTCTTCCTTTCACAGGTCGTCTGCACCAAGAAAGACGAGCCTGAAACTGGGGCGCCTTCTGCTGCCTTTGCCCATCAGTTTTCAACAACACTGCAGTGTGCACTTCATGATCCTTGGTTTCATTCGCAGCTTTCTCTGCTTCTGAACAGGTAGCAAATCGAATCAGACCCCAAGGATCTTCACATTTGAAACGGAAACAATCCTTTATTTCACCATATACAGAGAATTTGTCCCTTACATCTTCCACAGTGCTTGTGTCAGGAGCATTTTTTATCAAGACTTTAGTGCTTTGTCCGGGCATAAGAACTAATTTCACCTCAGCACCTTGTCCAAGCATCACTCTGCACCCACCTTGCTCGTTCTTAGATGATTTATTTACAGAAAATTCCTGCTCTCGACTTTGCAGTTCCTGAAGAGTCATCTCCTTGTAGCTGTTGAACATTCTGATGACATTTTGGTTGCGAGGGCTAGATGAAAAAACATCTACAGTTCCGAGATCACGGTGTGCTTCTACAACTACAGTTTCCATCCCAACCTTCACAAAGCAGTCCTCCAGAACCATCAGATTTTGAAAGCGTGGCCCGACCAGAGCCCTGAAGACAATTTTTCCAGCTTCCTCTCTGTGAACAAGGCGTGATTGCTTTCCTTTGACCTCAGCAATATCAATCGCCAACTGTTTTTCATTCACAGCTTCCTGAACCCATGCCTCATCGATGACAGTGATGCCTTTGATAAAGTCTCGAGACGACTTGACAAACTGTGAGTATACAATCCATTCTGGATATGCATTTTGACTCATTAAAGAAGACGAAGGATGAAAATGCACTTGGCGCTGAATCCCGGTGGCATAGTAACCAGCCCGTTGATGACCCAGAAAATGGCCAACCATTGACAGGTTTGCTGTGAAGACCATCTTCCTCAAGCGGTCTACAGCTGTCTCTGAGTCTGAGAAGTTTTCTTCCATGTGAATCCTGTGCTCTTTACGCAAAACATCGGCAACATCTCTGACACATTGCCTTGTGTAGTTCATCACCTTGTTGTCGACGCTGTGCTCCTTACACCATGCTGACTGCTGTTTCTTTGGAGCAGAGGACCATTCTTTGTAAACGTTGAACCAGGTGAAAGGATCTCCAAACTGGGAAGCAAACTGATTTTTATTCCTTGCTGAATTCTGCTCCTCCACGTCAGTGAGTCCCCTGTAAAATATGTCTGAGCCATTGCTGAGTAACGCGGCAATTACAACAGCATCGTACAGTAAATGGTCCTTGTGTCCAAGGAACACCAATAGTCCTTGCCCAGGATCAAAGGGTAATCTAGAGATAAACCGACCAGTTTCAGTAATGCTATCATCCAGCAAAGCACCAATTTCTCTCAGAGTGCTGACAGCAGTGTCAAGAGCTTCTCTGCTTGGTGGCTCCACAAAGTCATAGCTTCTGGCATTAACACCCAGTTCTGCCAGTTTTAAAACAGCCTGTCCTAAATGAACACGAAGAATCTCTGGTTCAGAGCTGGTTGCCAAGGTAAGAAAGCTTTTCTCAGTGTACAGGCGGTAACAGGTGCCACTGGCAGTGCGACCAGCTCTTCCTTTTCTCTGATTGGCTGAGCTCTGGCTAATAATGTGAGTTCCCAAAAGGCTGATGTTTTTCTTGGGGTCATACTTCATCTCTTTGGCTACGCCTGGGTCAATGACAAATTTGATTCCATCAATCGTCACTGAGGTCTCTGCACAGTTTGTTGCAAAGACAATCTTCCTCACCCCGACATCAAGCTGTTTGAAAACTTCCTGTTGCTCTTCTGCGGGAAGCTGACCATGAAGAGGTAAACATTGATACTTCTCAGGATCTTTCAGTCTCTTTTTAGTTTCTTCACAGCAACGCATTATTTCAACAGCTGACGTCAGAAATACAAGGATGTCTCCTGGTACCTTACTCTTATGGATACTCACAACTTTGGACACTGCCTTTTCTTCTATGTTGTCAAAATCTTGGGTTTCATCTGCACTCTCGTAAACCACGTTGACAGGAAAAGTCCTCCCGGAGACTTGAAGCAAAGTTGGCTTGTTTGGAAAGTAGTTGATGAAAATCTCTGGATTGATAGTAGCAGAAGTAATGATAACTTTCAACTCAGGCCGCCGTTCTGAACAGGATTTGATCATGCCCAGCAAAATGTCTGTGTAAATACTTCGTTCATGAGCCTCGTCAACTATGATGCAAGAGTAGGCGCGCAGATCAGGGTCTTTCAGGAACTCATTGAGCAACGAATGATCTGTGGTAAAGACAATCTTTGTCATAGGCCCAATACATTTTTGAGCACCTGTTATGTACCCAACCAGATTCCCAACTGTGCTCGTAAGTTCAAAAGCAACCCTTTCAGCGAGAGTGCGGGCAGTTATCTTCCTTGGCTGTGTGCAAACAATCATACCTTCTGCATTAATGTCCGACTCATATATATATTGAGCCATCTGTGTACTTTTTCCTGAGCCAGTCTCCCCGAGCACGACAGAGACTTTGTTGGCAGAGATCACATCCAGAATGTCATTCTTGCGAGCATACATAGGCAGGGCATTTGACAGCCTCTTACACTCAATGCTAATAGAACGAAGCAGCTTAGTCCACTGATCTTCACAAAACATTGTTGATGTACTGAGATCTTCTAACAGGCTAATCATCTTAGTACATTGTTCCTGGAATGTGTCTTTCTGGTGCACTGCTTCTTCCAGTTTGTCTTTCAAAACCAAAATTTCACTTTCACTTCTGCATGAAAGATGCTTGCCAGATTTTCGTTCCAAGTTAACTATGGAGTCTTCAAACTTCTTGATTTTCTCGTCATGCTGTGTAAGATGAGAAAAAATCAAAGCTGATTCTCTCTGAATATCCCGCTTCATACTGTTTCTCTGAGCATCACTTATAGCTTTCTTTATCTTATTGCCATTAAAAATTTTCACTTCTTTGCAGCCATTCAGTAGGTTCCTTAACCTCTCAGCAGCAGCTTTACTGGGCATTTTCAATTCACAATAAGTTTGAAACTTGCGAATATTAATGCTGTTCGGTACAATTTCAAAAGAATACTTCTTCTTTTCAATTTTTTCAAGGAGATATTGTCGGACAGCGTCAGTATCCTTGAAGCTTTTCTCAATACGAATACTCAGAGTGGTCGGTACAGGAGATGGCACAGGTTTAGCTGGAGGTCCACTTTTGTTCTGTGAAGAAGTATCAGTATTGACATCCCCTTTTGCATTCACTTTACTTGTCCCTCGGCTTCTTCGTTTCTTATTCTTACAATTTACAGTCTTTGCGCTCTGTGAGGCGTCCGAATAATCACTCTCTTCATTTACAAAGTCAGTGTTCTTGACGCTACCTTCTTTGTAAGTACGTGAAATATAATATGTGACTTCAGTGTTCACTTTATCTTTCATTGTTTTGCATAACTCTGCAAATACAGACCCTCCAGATAGATTTTCTCTGTGGTAAAGTATAACAGAACATGCTGTGCGTTCTCTTGTAGACACGATACTGTCTTCCACAAATTCCAGTTCCAAGTTTTCCCTTTTTGAAAAGTTTTCTAAGATAACATTCTTGACACTTTCTGCATCTGTAAAAGAGTCTTTGACTCGCAAACTAGCTTCTGTCTTCATCCTCTGAGAGCTGTTTGGCTCACTATCTTTCACTTTCGATGTTCTCCGACATCCCTCAAGATTCTGCCTCTGCCTCACAGTGGAAAGGTCCACACAACTCTGACTCTGACCACCAACAAAACCATCGTCCTTGCACTTTTTATCATTGGACTTTCCTCTCCATTTTCCTCTCTTCTGTGTAATACATTCCTTGTCTCTGGCGGAAGCTTTGGAGAGGTTTTGGGCTGTAGCAGGTGGAGCCAAAGACGAGCGAGACCGACCGACTTTCTGAGAAATGTAGGCAGAACGGGGTGGAGCCTCATCATGGCGTACAGCATATTCTGCAGATTTTGTACTTTTTGAATAACTTCTGCAGTAGGGTTGACTATTCCGTCTCTCTTGACATCGGAAATTTCCGTCAGATGATCCCTGTCCTCGTCCCCTTGGGTCAATGCCATCCCTACCTTGTCCTGTTCCCTTTGCAAAACTTCTACTTCCACCCCATCCTTCTTCCTGGTAGGGGCCAGCCTTGACAAATGGTCCCAATCCTATTTCCTTCCAATGGTCTCTAGCCCAGCTTTGTTCTCCAGTTGGTTCCATCTCATCAAACGAACCCCATTCTCTTCTTCTTTGTCCCCTTGACAATCTTCCAAAGTCATCAGGCCCTACATCTAGACAAAAACCAGCCTGATCAAATCTTCCTCCTCTCCCTCTTCCTCCTCCTCCCCTTCCTCCTCCTCTCCATACTCCTCTTGGGTGATTTACACTCTGGTCTTCTCCTAGTTCTTCATAAAGACCAGCAGCACCGTATGATGGCCCTCCTCGTCCACCTCTGTGACTTGCATTCTGACCTCTTCCCCTTCCACGAAAGGCATTTCTGTAAAACACCCTGGGGTCTTTGTTATTCTTTTCCATTACCACTTTCTTTCTGGAAGTCTCATAAGTCTCTGGAGCATAATTTGGCACTACTCCAAAATCAGTCTCATACTCTCAGAAACAAACAGTGTGCATCGGTCTTTTGTCATAAAATGTTTACTGTGTAATGTAGACATAACATTCGCTAATAACACATGATCTATTTTCCTTTGATTTCATAACACAGCGCTGCCTCCTTGGTGCCTTTGGTCCATTTATTTTTGTCAGAAGATGGCCAGAGATAACCTGAAAATAAACAGAAGTACGATAAAACAGTGCATTAAAACCTTTGATGTAAGCCTTCCTTGTTAATAAAACTCTTGAGCTTACAAAGCTAGGAAGATCCAAGAGGTAAAAAAATGTCTGTGCCCCCGTGGAAAAAAAGCAATCAGCAGGAATCGTATGAAATGACTTTAAAGCTCAAGAATGTTGGAAAAGCGAGCCACTGAGATTTGGGGAAACATTATGACTCTCTTGTAAGATTTAAAAGAAAACGACAGAGCAAGTATTTTTGCTTTTTCGCTCATCTTCTTTTGCATTCTGTATTGGATATTTCCACAGTGTAGCCAAACTGATGTTCAGGTAAAGGAAGATGGAGGGGGGGTCCATTTGGAAAGAGACTATGTTACTCATATTTTAGAGGTTACGTAGGCCTTAAATTTCCTGAGGTTCTCTTTAAAGATTTCCGCTGATCAGAGGTCCTTCCATTTTAGATAAAGTATGATTCAGAATTTCCTTCAATATAGAGTAACCAGTTTGGGAAGGCTTGTTTTTCTCAACTCTCGAGTTAGTCTTTAATGATTAGAAAGTGCAATGTACCAACAGCCCCTCGACAGATTTCACATCCTCCTTCTTCAACTTCAGCATTCTTCTGCAAGTGCAGGCTTTTAATTTTAAAAATCTGATTTTAACAATTTGTGACATAATGTAACCCTCCTACTCTTCTCATATTACCCCCTGCCAAAGTGTCCGTAACAAACATAGTGTACAGGTGTGCAAGTCTTTCGTCCTGATCCACTAACTTGAAGATGAGGAGTTAGGTTCTACGCATCTGAATATCAGAAGAAAAAAAGTTTTAAAACTCTTGGAGAAAAACATCAATAGGGAACACCTTAAAACAGATATTTTTTAAATTATAAATTCGAAGTTGAGCTCAGCAGATTGCTTAGATTTGTTGGTATCATATCAAATGGTCTGAACTATCTGTACAATAATTCGAGATTAAAAATATGCCAGGAAGACACAATGCTGAATTCAAGGTACAAGTTCAAGAATGTCCTTTTATAAATCACAGCTGGCACTAAACTGTAGAGAAAGCAAAATTCTATATTATGTCTTTTCTAAGTTACAGTTTCAACACTTTCTTACAAAAATGTTACTCCACTTTTAGCCACGATTCGTTTCACTTTTTCAAATTTACACCCCTCACACTTTCATAACTTCCACCATAAATTCTGTAGGCCTATTAATGAAAAGTATGCATGTAACATTTTCATTCAATTTAAAAACAATATAAGCTCTCTTATTCACTTCATACCTGTATGCCCATATATCTCAACACCACTCACGGACAAATACAAAAATATTTATAATAATTATTATGATATTATAAAAAATTAATAGAACGATAGTAATATACAGATGTCAGAGACAGTATGGGGAAATTAAATTTCTAAACGGCAGAATGTGACAGCCTACTAAAGTACATGTATACAGTACTTGAAGTATAAAGCCTTGGCAAGGCTAATAAATTATGAACTCTCTGGTACTATAAATGAATGAATAAAATATGTATGTGTAATCTGTCCACTAGACTACAATTAAACACTCTGACTAGTTCCAGCCCTCATGCAAAGTTCAGCTAGTGAGCATGTTGTCTCCTCGTGTGTTATTTTGCATTAATGATGAATTCAAAACTTACAAGATCATGATGCATTGTGTGTTGATAACTATGTGTATCATTGTCACAGTCGGTGGCGGTTCGTGGTTTATAGAATTGACCGGCCGTCATTCACATCGACTCTTTCTCCCTCCCCCACCCCTTCCTTCACAACACACACACACACACACACACACACACACACACACACACACACACACACACAAACACACACACACACACACACTTACGCACACACATTCTCTTTCTCTCTCTCTCCTCTCTCTCTCTCTCTCTCTCTCTCTCTCGCTCTCTCTCTCTCTCCCTCTCTCTCTCTCTGTCTCTCTCTCTTTCTCTCTCTCTCTCTCTCTCTCTCTCTCTCTCTCTCCTAATTTTATACCCATACTTTCGCCTTCCCCACCCCCTCCCCCAGTCACACACATCAGTGTAAACCGTATAATATAATGTGAAAGAGCTAAAATATTGTAGTGTCAAGAAACAATATTAGGAATAATGTATAATGGAAGTTACTGAGATTAATAGAAACTGACTTGATCGGCACAGACTATGCTAGAAAACAAACTGAAAGTGTATGATGACAAAAAGTCAATTAATACTGTACCAGTGACGCTGTCCCATGCAGATCAAGTCTACAATCAGATACTAGAACAAAGCTGGACAAGGATAGCACACAACAGTTTCCAATCATTATACAATGTATAATCAAACGTTCTTCATTGCACTTCTCAGTTCTCAGAACAGAACACTGTGATGTAACAAAGTGGGGAAGTGTGTCAAATGCTAATACTAATTATAGAACTTGGTGTCTTGCTGGGGTGACGATGGAAAGGGGGAGGGAAGGGTCGGGGTAGGCCTTACTGTTTTCGGCCCAGACTCTGCCAGCCAAGTGCCTGCCTATCGCTCCTCCTTATAATTCTCTTTATATATTATATCTTCACTAGACGATTCCTCTTTTCGCTGGAAAGACTCATATGGGCCAGATAAGTTATTAGTGGGGAGAACGCGATGAATAAATACCAAACCGGAACTATAGGTGGCCAAAGATTCAATGAACAAAAGAGATTAGAGCCATGTTGACAATAAATGTTCTGATAATAGTTAGAGTAAGGCTGAATGATAAATACATGTATTGCTGATAAAATAATACATTTGTCTGTGCTGCTCAAGACAGTCTCATTCTTAATTTTGTAAGCAGCACAAAGGCCAATTTGGCAATTAAGGGATGCTATATTCGCTCTGACTGAGGGCAGTCGATGGATTTGTCCAGGGGACTGACGTCATCGCTGAGCGCGCGTGTTCGGTTTGTCCTCGTACGAAGTTCCGCGACGTGACGGCGTCGGCGTGACGAGAGACGATTTAAAGTTACGAGCAATAAACAAACGTGAAGGAATGAGGCAGTGTAACGCGACAAAACAGCAGTGAATCCCACTAGTCTGTTTGAGCGCCTTCAAATCGGCAAGGTGCTTCTTGAATGTTGAAACATGTTTGTTTGGATTTACTTAAAACTGAATGAAAATCATCATCAGCAGTAAATCTCTTGTCAGCAGTCCAGCTCACAAAAATTTGACCTGCTCCGCCGGTCTTGCCCAGTTAACAAACCGCCCCTGGTCGCAGTGGAAGCAGCAGCAAAGATCTAACAACTATTATACATACAGTACAACTGGATAGATCAAATTTATTGGGACCGGCCTCAGCAGTTCGACGTATCCGTAGTTCGAGGGATATCTTACAAAGATAAAGAAGGGAAAAAATGGGACCGCAGGCACATTTTGACGCATGCGTGATTTCGAGTCTTCTGTATTCGACCTATCCGTCGTTATTGTATCTCTCTTGTTGTGATATCTTTCACTTCAACCTCATTAGTGGTTTCCTTCAACAGTTAACAAGATCTCATATAAAGAAAGTTGGGAGATTTTTTTTTCAAAATTCTCTCTTTGGAATTTTGCTATTGGCTAGGACTTTGCAAACTCAAATGACCACTGCACTTAAATAAATGGTGCGATTTTTAACTTTTGTTGTTGTTATTATCAGGAGTACAAACTGGCGCTGCACCATAATAATAATAACAATAACAATTACTGCACCACAATACACACAATAGCAAACTGCACCACAATACACACAATAGCAAAGTGCACCACAATACACACAATAGCAAACTGCACCACAATACACACAATAGCAAACTGCACCACAATACATGTAATCATTACTTCTTATAATAAACCTACCTTAATTACTCATATTATGATTTTGGCCTAGAATGGAATAAGAACACATCTGATTTGAAAATTGTAATATTGTTCGGTTTGTGGGTACAAACAGATAGAGAGAGAGTGAAGAAACGCACGTCTGAAAAGGCTCTTTGTTTTATTCATTCTAGTACACTGTAACCGAAAAGTGACGACTGAGTAGAAGAAAGATACTGTCCAAATCCCGATACGTTACCTAGCATTTATAACAGAAAAGTTATGTAATGTACATTATTCCACATCTCCCCCCGAAGTTATTGTCCCAGTGCTTGATCATCTATTATAATAGATCTCTATAAGTTTCACTTGTTCACAACACTTAATTAATGAGTTCTTGAGACTTGGATTTGAATTTAAAGCACAGAGCTAGGTCATACTGTCACTGGGTCACAGGCACAGGTCTGGTCTCATTGGTACTCTGATTTCTCTGCCGTATCGGCTGACACGTGGTGTCTGCGCTGGGGCCGCCGGCGTTTGCGCTGACTCCCGGGCAGGGCTTGGGGTGTCAGGTTGCTGTGTCGAAGACGGTGTGTTGTCTCCGGGCTCTTGTGTTGTTGTGGGCTCTGGGGTAGCCACGAGATTACTTCTGTTGCCACGGACGGTTCTCCTTTTTTCAGTGGTCACTGTGTAGGAGCGCGGATTGGGGTGTCTGTTGTTAACGATGCCCGGTCGGCCTAGGTCTCGAATGTGGACAGAATCACCGGGGCAAAGTTCTGGAAGAAATTTGGCACCGTGTCTCTTGTAGTATTGCAAACGCATGATCTCTTTCCTCTTCTCCTCCCTTTGACGAAAAGAGGGTAGGTCAACAGAACTTGGATGTAAGTTGTCCTGCATAATGGGGACTTTGCTTTGGAGTTTCCTTCCCAAGAGGAGCTCACTTGGGGCATACCCGTTTTGTAAAGGAGTAGCCCGGTATAGCAGAAGGGCAGCGTACGAATCGTCGGCTTTCTTGAGGAGAAGCTTCACTGTTTGCACTGCTCTTTCTGCCTCACCATTGCTCTGGGGATATCTCGGAGAGCTGAGCTGGTGATGTGAATGAAACCAAACTCTTTTGCAAAAGCTTGGAAGCTGGCTCTAGAGAACTGAGGGCCACT